TCCTCCCCCGCGAGCGCCGAGCCTTTTGCGGCAGCCAAAGGGGTTGGCGAGCTCAGGTTAGAAATCATCACGTGTGCCGAGGCTGCTGCTCCAGCTCAGCCAGCTGCAGAGAGGGATTCTTAGCAGTGAATACCCAACATGGACAGAACTGCCTAAGGATTTCCTTCCTAGATGCCGGCAATGCAGGGCTGGACTTGGCAAAAAGTGGGGCCCACACCTCACTGTGCTTTCACCAAGAACATCTCCAAACATAACTGCATCCCCACCTGTACTGCGAGGCACAATCAGCATGAACCACCTTTAAAGTCACCCGGTATCACCTCTTTAGCAACTCCTGCAATAACACAACTAATAATGATTAAATATTACTATTCTTAAGAGTGTTGCACACCTGTTTGCTAGCACCACCTGGAGGCAAGCTGTGTTTTCCACCCAGTTTAGTGGAAAAGGAAGGAGTCTGTACATCCAGGATAACCAAAGGCTCTAACTATTCTGGGTCAAACAGCCAGCACAGATTCAGGTGTCTGCTGATCTGAATGGCCGTTGTAATACAGACAGACTTACAGACTTACATTGGCTTGTTTGCTTGAGTTCAGGAACGTGTGTTTATGCTTAAGAAGCTAATTCTAGGTAACGGTCAGAACAATACAGCTTCTCTGCAAAAGCCAATGAGAAAAAACCTCTGGCATTGCCCTTCTAAAAAATCGGGGAAGAAAAAGTGGAGAAAAGCCAAATGCCCAAGATGAGTGTCACCTACATTGCAAGCTTTTCCTCCAGAGAGTTGAGACTTTCTCCGGTTGAATCTTTCTTCAAATAGAAGAGGGAAGGAAAACAAACAAAAAAACACCCTTCTTGATAAACTCTAAGGTAAGAGTATCTTTAATTTCTTAAATTACTTGCAGTGAGGAACCCTGGAACCCTGTTTCCAAGCCAAGTCAATATTCTCTTTCCTCCTGTTCCACCCCCAAAAAAGGTTATGAATCTTCACCAAGTAATTTCAGATCAGTGCTTTATTAACCATTCCCCAAAGGGTCAAGAGGTAAAACACCTCACTAGTAAGGAAGGAAGGGGTTCACCTGAAAAATCACGTAACTACCTAGAAGAGGACTTACCTGACCCCTAAAGCCAGATGCCTTTGATCTTGTCATAGGTTTGTATGCTGCATTATTTTGTATCCAGGGCAGTCACAGACAAAAATTAATATTCTCCCCATATTTCCTTCATTGATCTAGTAACTGGCCTAGAAAGAAAAAGTCTCTGGGTCCTTAGCTGGCCCTCAGAACCTAAACGACGTTCATAACTTACTTGGTGCATTGCTGTTTGACAGTCAAGAAAATGTTAGTGAGCATTTCAGCATGTTCACATCCACACAGGTCCCGTGAGGCAGCAGAGCATACAGGTGCACTAGCCAATGCATCTGAATCCACAGCTTTAAGGAAGGCATCCAGTGTGTCTGTATAGGTACCTCCAAAATCTCACAAAATTGGGGGTTGTCTCCCTCTCACATCCCATTGCTCCTGATACTGCGCAGTCATAAGAGTTTAAAAAAAAAAAAGAAGAAAAAAAAATCTTGAAGTAAAAATGAACTTAAGGCTCCTCTTTCCCAAACTACTTACAGCTTCTTTTCAGCCCATAATTTATCTATATAAACAATCAAAAAGAAGAGCAAAATCTTCTCGAAATAGCAAAGATCTTGTCTCGAACAGGTCTTCAGGGATTTACTGGAGACGATGGCCTGGCTCATCCTGAACACAGAAAGTGAAATCTTATGACCCCCCTCTGGGAGAAAACAAGTACCGAGTCACTGTACACAGCAGAAGTGGTAGGAAGGAGCCAAAGGGCTGCAGCTCTTCTCCTTCCAACTCTTTTGAAGGAAACTGGAGCTGGCTTCTGCACCACTCCCTGAGCTCAATCAACAAGACGCACCAAAAACGTCCTGTCCCGCGGAGCTTTTCAAGCGCCTCAGGCAGGGATGTGTCCTGGGGCTGACGCATTATAAGAGTGTGCCAACTGGGTGACTTCCCTACAGGCACAAGAGCAGAAATTGAGGAATGAGGACGACTGAGCACTGAGCATTAGTCATATCCCAGGCTAGGAGCAGCTGAACAAGTAGTCTGAGAAAATACACTGTGACTTAAATATCCAATTTTGTGCCGCTCTTCTTTACCTTTATTCGGAAACATTCGGAAATGAATGATCTATCTTTACCCCCTCTGATGTGCAAGAACAATGTATTGGAGAAATACACAATATACACTGCAACATGCAACTACGCAACAGATTTCTTGGACTCTCCTACAGCAAAACTGCAATTTGAGACAGAGCATGTGTTGGTTTTATTTATGAGGCCATGAACAATAGTTTCTGCGACTAACTTATTTCAGATTTTATGTGTTGCTAAGCCTACAAACGAAGGAAGTTCCGAAGTTTGGGGAATACCCTCAGCGCATTCTGTGTTGTCACTTCTATAACTTCTTCAACTGGTATTCCTTTAATACTGGCAATACAGTCAGCAGCAACGTAAATATTTTTTGGTTCATTTCTTACCTGCAGTGCAGAAAAAGACAGAATTAGAGATCCCCACAGACAACAGTATGTCAGATTCAGCTCCTTCTGCCACAGTTTCAACTAGGTTATGGCATCTATGACATTTATCTATCCCCCATCTCCCAGCCACAGGAACACTATCACTTCAGGTGTTTGACCTGTTCATTGAAAAATTTTCACCTGGCAATATATATATATATATATGTGTATATATATATACATATATACACACACACATATAGGAAGCTTTATACACACATTTATATAAAAGAACTCTACCCACAGCTTACCAGTTTTACAGGCCCCAGAACAGGAGAGTCGCTTTCTAAGCATATATTTTCCAGGGGTAGGAATCTAACAAGTTTCTGATTCTTGAAGAAAATAAAGACAACTATTATATGCTCTATTCATGTAGACATGGAAAAAAAAATGCAAGGTGAAGCGATAATGTTCTACATTTAAAAGCAATGTCTAAAGACTTGGTACCACTGACAGGTACACTGATTTTATCAACAATTTCAGAATAGAAGCAAAAAATATCAGGAGTTGCTCAAGAAGTCTTTCAAAAAATAGGGTAACTCTGTCTTTTTTACTCTCAGTAATAGTACAATTAATAACTAGTAGTTAAAGTACTGTTTCCTAAACACTAGATGATTATTTATTAAATAAGATAATTATATTGCACAAAATACTTTATGCTTGTTAGTTACCAATGCAATTCTCATTTGTTACTTTTCTGTATATATATTTGTATATCTTTTTTGTTTGTTTGTTTCACTTTCCCTTAATCCTATTTTGCTTTCTTTTTTTCAGGTTCCTATCCTCATCCTTGTCTATATTTAGCCTTCATGACTCCTGTTTTTGAAGTATGCCTTTTCCTTTCTTACATTTAAGCTTCCTACAGAAACTGCTGATAGTGCAGGATGGAATTGGTCTCCCTTTGCTTTCCACAGAGTAAGAATTTAGCACAGCTTGCCACAGCTCCAAACACAAATCACAAGGGCATTCTCTCAAATTCAGGGGTAAACGAGGCCAATGCAAACAGGCTTTAAGCAATTTAACTGCTTTTTTTTTTCTTTCCCCCTCAGCATGCCACGTGCAACGTTCTTTATTTTTAAGAAGCCTGTAACTTAGCCAACTGTGAACAAAATTTCTTTTTGGGATGGATGAGTAGAACCATGGTATGACTGCCATATAAATCAGTCTTTTTTTTTCAAATGACAAGTCTGTACTAAATGCAGTGATAGAAATTTCCAAAGTAAAGTTCTCCAGAACACACTGAAACAAGAAAAAAGAGTCTCATTTCCTCAGAAATAATTGAACTGTTTTAGCTAGAATTTCCCTCCAAATGTCTAGCTGTGGCAAAAGCCCCCGCATGTTAAAATGTGCAATGGTATGAGCAACTGAAAGCAGGATCTTCTATCAAGAAGCGTCTGGTGATGTTAACTATAGGCAAGTACTGCAAGTACTACTTCAAAATGTGAAGACTTAAAAATAAATAATTAAATAATTAAATAACTTTTGAACTATACAACAAAAATCGAATGTTTTTCATCCTAGATAAACTGACCACTATTACCTGAAATCACCAAGCACCGAGACAGAGCACTTCCCTTTAAACGTTACCTGCTTATTCCTTACAACAGAAGGTGGGATGGAGAAGAAATATCCAGCTTTCACCCCTTCCATTGCTACAGATGGCTTCCCATCGAATGCATGGAGTAACACATTCCCAGCACCTCAGAGAACACAGTCACAGCAGTTCATTAGCAGTGTTTACTTGTAGGCCTGCAACATCAGCTTCCAACAGGACATTGGTTCTGGCTTTGAACCATTCCTCCCCAGTTTCACATACACAAACTGGTAAGGGGACATGGCAAAACCGAAGCAGTCCTACTGATGAAAGCAGTGAAGGATAAAGCGCACTAAAAACATACCTTGTTCCTGTAAGAGACGAATGGTTGGTCTTCCCGCTGAACAGGAATGAACATTTCTGCAAAGCAAGAAGGCTGGTATGAGGGAATTTCCCTCACGTGCAAATACAGATGAACTGACAGCAGCTTGGGAAGAAAAGAATTAATCTGTCTCACATCTCTTCCTAGGAAAGAATTTTACAGACATAGAAATGAATTGTTTTAGCTACTGTGAAGACACAGCAATAACACAGCAAGGACAGGACATGCAAAAGACCATTCCATCTAAGTGGAAACACAGGTAAAACTTAATTAAATCTCAATCTGTAGACTGACAGGCTGAAAATGCCACTGTAATCTCTGTAAGAAAAAGTCCCATGGGCTCTCAGTAACTACAAATCCTCTAAAATATTTCCTTAGGTTTTTGAGACCTAGCAAATTCTTCTATTAGTACAAACAAAACCTACAAGGGCAAATCCAGTCTTTTTGCTAACTGAATCTGCTGGATCAAAACCTGTCTTTGTCCTTCTTTCTGTTCATCCGTGCTGGCATATCTGGGAGTGAAATCTAGTCCAACCTAGAAAAAAAGAAGTGAGAAAATTTCACATACCTACTGCTTGACTAAACCACAATACCATATGAGAGCAAAATATACCTCAAAGATGCATGTCATTTAAAATGTACAGGCTAGAGATTGCAATTAAAATGAGCTCAACTGTAGCTTTCCTAATAAAAGAATTCATATTCAAACATCAGATTTTTGATTGCGAAAACATTTGGAAATAGCTACTAACAATTTATTGAGCATTTTAATCTATCTCTGGTCTGATTTTTATATGTTATTGAATTTTATTTCAGATCTCGTTCATGACAGAAACTGAATTCAGAATTTCTGAACTGAATCTGTAACTTAGTGCTATGTCTAGCAAAAAACAGCCCTACTTTTATACCTTTTGATTTAAGCACATTCAAATAAAACTGCCTAATTCATAGTTACACCAACTGAAATCCTTGATGTACAACATAGATGCAATGCAATAAGTTTAGCGACAAAGCTCTGCCAGTAACTAGTTTCCCTGCAGCAAGTACAGAACCAGCCACGAGCTGCTCAGCTAGACACACACAAAAAAGGTAACTATCCTAAAGTTTTCAAGCTCCAAATATCTTACAACCAAATATAAGACAAGAGAAAACACATGGATATAGACAGATAATGAATCACAAGGAACCAAAGCCAGATAAGTCCATAAGGTACGCTGAAATCAAAGCTTAGCCCAGCTTTGTCAGGGAAGGACAGAGGAATCCTGAAGAAGGATAAATATGACTCAGTGTTTCACTGTAACAGAGAATTGATCAAAAGGCATCCAGCTATATAAGAGAATATATCACAATTTTGCAATTCTTCCTACTAAACTTACAAGCCTAAGTAGCATTTAGTTCCTAATAATCACAAAAAAGATGAAATAAAGCAAATATATGAAGAGAAGTAAGCGAAACAATTAAAAATCAGATTCACCACTTGTATTTACTAAGTGTTTTTACTTCTGCTGACAGATGCTGCCCAAATTGCAAGTGTTTAAACACAGCACAGGAATCTACTCACTTCTCCAATTGCTACCAACTTATCTTCATAGCGCTCTATAAGAGGCAGCGCAGCTTGCAGATCCTGCAAGAACAAATCAAAGAAGTGATCCTCACCATCCCCGTGAGACGGGGCAGCACGAACCCCGTATTGCCACCACACAGGACATCCCTTCGTCATACTTCAGCACCTCGAAGGCCGCTACTATGCAAGCGAGAGTTGCATGCTCAGGGGCGTTTGGACCCCAGGATTCCCCTGCTTTGCCCCACAACCCTTCAATTCAGGCTGATCCTTCCCCAGGAGCTGAAGAGTTAAGCAAAACGCGATCCCCAAGACGCCTGCCATCACGAGGCGAGGCGGCAGACAGCTGCCCGAGTGTTTCAGGTTCAAGGCGCTCGTGTTGCCTTTCCACCTCCCTCGCTAGCAGCAGGGCGGCTGCAGATGCCCGGGCATTATGTTGGGTATAAACAAACCACCCGCAGGGACTTCAAGAACCGCTTCACGGCAGCATCTGCAGTGCAGCTCAGTGGCTTCAGTGAACAATTTTGTTTTAGGAGTAACGCAAAGGAACGGCTGCGCTAAGAGACCTTGGGATTTGAACCACGATGCTTTGTATGTTACATAAGCATCACTAGGCAGATCTGAAGTTCAGCGTCGGTTAGGCCAGCGTATTCTTTAAACAATGTCCTAGAACCACAACGTTTAGGGACAAAACATGGGCCCCAAACCAGCCCGGGGAGCATTTTAAAATGTGCCTGAGCTAGCGCGTCTTGGTTTTACCTGCAGAGTGACGCTGCGCCGCCCCTCTGGAGAGGCACCCTGAATGGGGTGAACTCCCAGGCAGGGCAGGACGAACCCCGGGAACCTAGAAACGAGACAGCAGGCTGAGGGCTGGCGGATGGAGCCGGCTCAGAGCTAGGAGGGGGGCAGGACATGATGCTGGGGGCTTCACGAGGCCGCCCCACAGGCCGGGGGCTGCTCAGGCCACGGCTGGGAGCTCTGTGGCACCTGCATTAACCACGTTTAACACGTTGCATTTTTTAAAAAAGTACCAGGCATGACTAGCAGTAGCCTTAAACGAGAGATGGGTGTTGGGTAAGTCGGAAAAAGTGATTTTTTTGGAGGGGGTGCCAGGATAGAGGGGGACTGGCGCGGGCTGGGGTGCCGGTCCCACCTCTCGGCGAGCTCGGCGACCCTGTCGAACTCCCCTGCGTGCT